GTCTTAACATCACTTTGAGTCTTCTTCGTAAATTTGATACAATAAGATGAAGGAAATCTGGAACTTATTTCCATACTCACATCATTATTGGTCGCAGACAGTTTCTCTGCAGTTTCGTTCCCATTGGTTTTCTCCTGTAATCCCAGTTTCTCCATGATCAACTCCATCCTGGTTGAGATGCCTGCCACAGAGCTTTCGAGTTGGAGAACCTGTCCGGTCAGTCTTTCATGATCATAGAAAGAAAATTCAGCTTCTCGTTAATGCTCTTTAATGAAATAAATGAAAAAATACTTAAAGACATATCATAGGCAAAATGTAAAAACTTCTCCCACTTTAGAAACTGCTCCTGATCCACAAAGATTTGACCAGAACGGTTCTTCTGCTCACTGGAGGTCACAGCAGGCTTCTCCAGTAACTCTTTTTCGTAATTCATTCCAAGATCGTTGAGTTCATCGCTGAGAGCATCCTGACAAAAAATTGGAAAAACCACAATGAAAACAGCCTTGTCTGCAAAAACCGAATGAGAGTGTTTTATCACATTTATTGTGTATAGTCACAAACCCTCTTTTCCTCCAGCTCGATTTTCATCCTTTCTTGTTCAGCCTCGTCTAGAATTTGGTTCCCATCCCGGTCAAACCTTGAGAAGGCTGCTGAAATTTCATGATCGGCATGTCCCATCCTATGAGATCATCGGAGCAGTGAGGGTTAACTTTAACATTAACGCTAACATGTGCCCCTTTTGAATATTTTGTTACTCACTCTTTCAGAGTTTCTCTGAAGTCCTTGAATTCAATTTCTCCAGATCCAGAGCGCAGTGCTTTCTGAACATCTGATATTTTCTCCTTTTTGAGTTTCAACTTCATAAATGTCTTCATATAGCTCTGAATCACAAAAATAAATCTTTTTTTTGTAAAACTATAAATTCATAAATTCTACTTTTACATTCAAGTCCTCGCCTTTACCTGTTTGATGATGTCCGTAATCTGCAGTTGATCTTTTTGGGATGAGAGCTCCTCCTTGACCTCAGAATATGTGTCGTTGATGATGGCCAGAAACATGTTCTGAGAAACAAATGCATGGGGAAATGATGAGGCTGCTCATTTGTGGTATTTTAAAGTCAGACGTCTTGTAAAACGGAAACGACTTACCAGCAAAACAAAGAAAACAAAGAACACATAGGTGACAAAGTAGATCGGCCCCAGAACTCTGTTAGCACGGTCGATGGCATCATAATTAAAGTCTCCGAGAATAATCCTGAACTGTGTGAAGCTGCAGGAGGAAAAAGAAAATGAATTAATAAATTCATGCTCATTCAGCCTATTTAATTCTCTCCTGTTGAGCTGTCGTGATTGACACCACTTACATGCACTTCACAAAGGTGCTGAAGGAATCAACCTCTGTCCCAAAGAGCAAATATCCAAGCTGAGCATAAGCGAAGAAGACAATGAAGAACATGATGGCGAATCCCAAGATGTCTTTAGCACATCTTCCCAGTGTGGAGGACAGCTGAGTCATGGTCTTATTAAAGCTGATGTACTTGAAAACCTACAAGGATAAGAGGAATACACACATTGTTTGGGATGACACCAACGCTGGGTAATAGTTCCAAGTAAGGAGATGAAGTAAAAGATGTCTGTACCTTGATCCATGCGAAGAACAAGTTCACAGCATTCATGTTGTTGTATTGTGTTTGCCAAAACGCCAGAAATTCAAAATCAGCATAGATATCAGGTTGTTCCAGGAGTTTGCCAAGCAACTTATCCACTTTGACGGTTCGGAAAATATTGAATACGATGGCAACGATTGCGAGCTGGGAAGGAGAACAATTTTTATATTTTAGGGCCAAGCTAAATCAGAGAAGATTACATGTTTGAATCTACACACTGCATTTACTTACCATTATGACAACAATGTCGAGTATGTTCCAGATGCTTCCGAAGTAGGATAACTTGTGTATTTGAAGCTCAAGCATCTCTTCCACAATATAGTAGAGGATGAACACGCAGAAGACTATCTCACAGCCGAGGATGAAGTAATCCCAGTAAGTGATGTAGCGAATCAGTTTGACTGTTCTGATCTGGTAGGAAGGGATTGCTCCACCTGTGGCTGGGAATTCAACTACCAACCTGAAAGATGCAGATTAAACTTTGATTAACCAATGAACGGGTACAAACTAATGGGTAAAGTTGTTGCTTTTAATTGCACTTTTACCTGATGACGCAGAACATGTTGATGTTTGCATTGTAAGTGGAGAAGTCGATGAACACTGCTCTGGTTCCTCGGTCCAGCCATAGGTTGTCCACCAGTTCCGTCATTATGGCGGCGCTCTCCTCTTTGGTCCGACTCAGGTCTTGATAGTATCCTGCTCCACTGTAGGTGGTCAGCAAGCCCCAGTGAGAGGAACCCTTGATCTCTTTCTCTGTGTGGTAGGTCCAGCTGCAGAGGAACAAAAGAGCATGAAAATAACCAAAGAAATAGAACAGTGTGTTCCTGTGACAATATTGAAGAGGGGCTTACGCAGTGCCGTTAATGAGACCGAAGCAGAGTTCATCCATCTTTTTCTCATTGTAGACATCATAACATCCTGTGATCTCATCTTGGAAGTCATTGTGGACCTTGCAGGAGTTGTTCTTGATCTTGATCTGCCTCATTCTGGGAACTCCCAGCAACATATTCTCATAGTAGATGAAGGACTTGTCTCCGCTGTCCAGGGACTGGTTATTGTACCATTTAGTCCAGTAGAGGCCATCCAGCAATGGGCCTTGGGCATACTGTTCATACAACGAGAGGGTTGATGTGCACAGATTAAAATATTTTGTGCTTTGCCACTGTGATTACAGTGGTGGAAATTAATTTGGAGGAAAACTCACAATCCAGAAGTCGGACATGGTGCCAATGGACTGAAACATAACCCCATTTTCTCCGCCTGTATTCACAAACAGGTCCGTCATGGCTTTAGTGTAATAGTAGGTGCTCGAACTGGTCATACCGTACGTCACTGAAAGACAACATGTCACTGTTAACACCCAATCACTGATTGCTATCGGTCTTTGCTCAGGCTCAGCCCTAAATGTTGCTCTATTGAGCAGTCCAAGATAAGACAGCTCAGAGACAGACATGCAAAAGCCTCAGTGAGGATTTGTTTGGCAGTGTTTATGTCGCTGCTGTGGAATAGATCCAGATTAGAGGCTGTAATTTGTTTGAAGAGAGGGCACGCTGGCTTGACATAAATGGCCTCATTAAAGAATGTAAATCTAACCCAAACAAAGCAACAATAGACGAGGCCTAAAGCTCTTATCACTAAAAGGCAAGAGAGCAGTGTCCATGTCCCTTTCACTCTTAGTGCTCAGCTGGACAATGGCTTTCAGGCAGAAGGATGGGAAGGGCATTTGTGGTAGGCATTAAAGCAGGGTGTATCAACAGTCCAAAGTGCCCTATACAGTAGCATCCTGCCAAATGTTGAGCAGTGATCAGCGTTGCTTAAAACAAATAGTTGATTGGAACATACTATAGTAGGAATAAAGTACATAAGTACACAAATAACAAAGAAAAGATTCAATTTACGTCATTATGAACACCAATGAACTGAGTTTTTGCCCACTTTATGGGTAATTAATATGTTATAATCATATATTTAGGGTAACAGTGTGGGAAAGTGATTTCAGTAGGTACCATATACAAATTAAGCATTTAAGTGTAAAACTAAATCTAATTTAAGTATCAGAACTTAAAATATTTTTTTAAAGATGTACACAACTTCCAATGTCATTAACTTGGTAAAATTACTCGCAAATACTGTTTAATCAGGGAACAGTTCATAGTTTTGGAGTCAGTTTCGATTCGTCATGATAGATGAGAGGCAAACATGTTAGATGGTATGAGTACATAACTTACAGAGGCATATGTCCACCAAGAACACCAGATAGACCAGTAACTCCCGTAGCGTGGTTCGGACAAACAGCTCCCTGTTGTCAGAGGTGTTTTCGGTCAATGTTGTGCCCCACAGCCCTACACACAAAATATCAATGTACTGTAAGTCATCGGTTAGGAACACAAATGTATTTCTGTAGGTTGTTTGTAAAGACCTGTCACGAAGAGGGTAACTTTAATCAAGGAAAGCCAATGAAATTCTTTAAAATACCATTTTTAATTAGTCAGCTGGACAGTTCAGACATTTTAATTAAAATATTAAATTTTGCAGTGCTAATTTTTTGCCAAACTATATCAAGACTCATGCAACTAGTAGTACATTTTGGACTACAAATGTAATGTTAAAGTCAGCAGAGTGATTTCTTCGTACCTTTGATAAAAGAGCAGCAGCCTCTTTGTTTCTTCACCACACTTTGCTCGTTGGGTAGTGGGTCCTCAGGTGGATGGTGGAACGGGCTGGGGGCGTCCACTTTGTACATGCTGTCCATGGAGCCTTGGAAGAGAGGCTGAGGGTTGTAGATGGTGCTGACAGCTCGGGGCAGGGGTGGAGGAGAGCCACAGTAGCCCTGGTTCACCCAGGCACCATTGCCCAAGCTGTCCAACTCACACTCCACCTGCCCAGTCAAGTGGCTGTCGGCCCGGTTGTTCAAGCACTTCATGCTGGGTTACGCTGGCGTTTTTGAACTGCTGGGGTTTAGGTCAGAGGAGACAGTGAATCACAGCAGTGTGGGCAGCTTCTGAACACCTGCTGGAGGGATGATTATAAAGAGTCGGATGACATAACCTTTGTTGAGGGAGGAGCTGCTGGTCCTCTGCTGGAGCTTTTGTAGTCTTGAGATGGAGCCGCAGTTAAACACGTTTAAGTGATTACATGTGCTGTTGAAATGCAACATTGACGTCCTTGTGTCCAGTTGTTTATGGACACATCTTAACACTATTTAACCAATAAGATCTCATTCTTGGCTGTTCTAAACTCAGGGACATTTTTTGATTTTGTTGTACATTAATTTACGTTTCATCTCTAATAAATTATTTCTTTTATTTTACATTTAAAAAATATGAATTTAATGTTGGCAATAGGCAATGGCTTTGATCGAATGCAATGAAATAGAACTTAAAAAGAGCTGAAGAGATCACCTTCCTATTAACCCCAAAGAGCTGAAATGACAAAAAAGACATTACCAGATAATAACTGGATTCTATAACGATTATTGCTACAATATCACACACCAAACTATTAATGTAATGGAAATGTCCTGTAAAGAAGAACATGCAGTCATGTTGAAAGGCCGACTAACTCAGTTAAGACATTTTAATTTGTTTTACCCTCTCAGTTACTCACATGCTGAGCACATTGTTGTCACTATTGATGAATAACTCATCCACTAGCACGCTCCCATTGAGGAAATCAATTAATCACATGTCGATTATATTTTCTGTCACCAGCTGTTCACCACTTGTGACTGAATTAATGAAGAGCGTAATTGCAGTGTCAGTGATGGTCTCATTATCATTCCGCACTTTTGACTCTACCCCTCTATTCATTTCTGACATGCCAACTGTCAGAGAGCGTTCATCGGGTATGCAAACACAATGTTTGGCACCGAGACCTCTGTTAGCACGGCGCCTTGCAACACCTACCACACATGTATTTAAATGTTCTTGGCTAATATCAATAACCAGTCAAGTAGATTGACTAGTGAATAGTTAAGCATAAAAAATGTTTTCAATGATTTGTCATATGATGGTTATCTTTGAATCTATAGTTGTGCATTTATTTATTCTGTGCAGCATTTTGATTTTAAACCAAACAGACGGGAATTTGAGATGATCTAAAAACTACACATAATTCCAAATTTTACCACCCAAATCAACAGCGTGCGTGCGTGTAGTGTAGTAGCAGTTGGACAGTACAGTCCATGCACTGCTGTGTAGGCCCTCCAGTTAATGCAGATAAAGTTTGGGTCCAGCTATAGCTGTTCACGCCTCAGCGGCTCTGAACACAGCCATTACACACAGCCATTAACGCACAATAGAGTTTAATTTCTGCTCCCCCGCTGAAGCCATACCAGGATCTGGCACACAGGCTTCCTTAATCTGCTGCGGCTTGTGCCACCATTCAAACTTTTTCAAATCTGCAACAATCAGTTTTCAGTGGCTGATTATGCCATTTGAATCTGTAGCCGTGTGGCAACGGACAGTGGTGGATCATATGACATCCTGGTTTATCTGTGCTTACACTGAACCGACCTGGAGCAAAACTGAGCTAAACACTTTTGAAAGGTTTTACTTTTATAGGGACCATTTAAGAATAGAATAATTAATTGATTGTGCCTTGTCCTGAAAAGGAGTCTAATTATCAGTGTTTAGATATTGGTTCCCCTCTTGACGCAACAGTGTCTTATCTCAGAGCCCAGGAGCTCAGGACAAAAGGCTGATTTATTCCCCGGGGTGCAGATTGAGGCAATGCAGCGGACATGACCTGCCATCACTCCCACTGAGAACCTGACAACCACAAAACAAAGACTGTGCTGTAAAGTACATGTTCTCTGTGATAACCCACGTTTTGATTCAAGACACAGGAGACAAGTGAGAGGTTTAAAGATCTCTAACTAGAATTTTCTCTTGAGAATTGAAGTTCTGCTGTAAATTTTACTGTTCAACAAAAATATAAAACATAGAATATCAACTTTTGTAGTATGTCAGGTTAATAAATTGCAAATTAAAATATTTTTTAGCAGTAAAGAGGGACATTTTCTTAATAAAGAAGGCACTTATAATAGTTATAAATAATAAAAACGAATAGTTTACACTACGCAAGTACAGTTATTGCAAACAGTAGATACACTATAAAGTTGCACTGCAAAAAGACATCTCACTTATTGATGACAATAAAGAACAAAATAAATGTTTTTTCATATAAAATAGTTTTTATTTTTGATCCAAAACTATAATTCAACAAAATAGAGGTCTGCATGTGAAAATAACATCTATTTTTCAACTCTACAAACATTGTTCTTACACTTTGACAGAATAGTTACATATTGACTTCAACTATGCAACAATAATAACAATAACAACAATAATTTTCTCACAATCCATCGCACATTGCACAACATTTTAGGGCTCTATCAAAATAACTGATAAAAACACACCATTGTATCTTCAGTACAATCTAATGGTCATTAAACGACACTAGTGCTACACTTTGAACAAAAAGCTGCTCAACATGCTGCTGGGTTACTTGGCAAGAATAAACCACAGGCTTCAAACTTCAACAGAAACCTTTTTGATTGTCAAAGAAATACTATATAAATTTAAAAAAAGAAAATAATGTAATACACATGTATTTACTGTCTCCTAGATTGAAGGAAAAATAATTCACATTGTCACACACAACATGACTGATTATAACCAACGAATGGCTGCAGTTTATGCATGGACCTGGTGTCCATCAAACTGGTAAGAGAAGGATGAGTGGATGTACTCCTGTTCCGTCGGGGAGTCGTACCTCATGAGGCAGGGGTAGCTCTCAGGCTGCACACAGTCAAACTGCAGGTCCAGCCACTGCCTGTGAGGAGCATTGTGCCTCCTGGCGTCTGTCAGGATCCGGTTGAGGGCCATGATGTAGCTGAGGGCCATCTGCAAGGTTTCATACTTGGACAGTTTTTTGTCCTGGCCCCACTGGGGGACCACTTTACGTAAGCGATCAAAGGCCGTGTTCAAACCCTGCATCCTCTTCCTCTCTCTGGCGTTGGCAGCCGTCCGTCGCCTAGTGACGGTCTCATACTTCTCCGGGCTCTTTGAATCTGGTTCTGACGACTCTGATCCAGAGTCGGTGCAGCTGGGCCGGCGAGACTTCATAATGTGTGTTTGCAGAATCAAACCGGTGATTGTCCTCGTATAATAAAGACTCAGCTGTGAGTTGATAAATTTGTCAGAGAAGTGTCCAGTTCTGAGTCAGGGTTCCTCAGAGGTTGTCCTTGGTGTGACAGCCTGGCTGATGTCCAAGTTGTGTTTCCTTTGTGTTGATTGTGAAATGACTGTAACCCCAGATAGTGGATGGCCCAGACAAGTCCAAGGTGTCTGTGATCCTGGACACAGTGAGGGAGCAGCTTTTATAGGATGGAGCAGATGAACAGGTGGCAGCAGGTGGGGTCCCTGCTCCCCCCCAAATATTGCTCATAAAGAAACACACCCATACAGACTCATAAACACCCACACCCACACACACACATATACACACACACACAAGCATATATACGCACACTCGGTGCACACACAAACAAAACCTTAATGAAATTCCAATTATCTTGGGCTGGGCTATCTGGCCGTGGCTTCACTCAGAGCCATGTGTCACAAACACCAAAAGTGTACCATCTGGTAGCTCGGCTCACCACAGCTGATGCTGCAAACACACTTTTAAAAGGCTGAGATTGAGAATATTTTCCTGTTTAACTTTAAATTACCCCCAATTGTGTTAAATCACTAGTATTGGCCACAGATCGACAACTTCCATTTTAAAGTAAAGAGAAATATCAACAAATAATAGTGGAAAAAAACATTGGGTATAAGAAAAGTTGCTAAAACTGCAACAGAAAAGTTGCTAAAATGGCAATTAAAGTAGTGACATCATTTTTGATGTGATTTTAATTTCCCACTGCTGTGTCAAAGAAATTAGATTCTATATGAACATATACAGTATTTCGGCACATTTATCTATAAACGTTTTTTTCATAATAGATTTTGTTATAGAAGTATATATTCTTTTTCCATCTAAAAATGTAATTTTATGCAAGGTTTGGAGAAAAAAATTATTTGGACTCAATCATTGATGTATTTAGCTCAGAAATAAATCTGTAGATATCACATTTTAACATCTCACTGAATTAAAATAAATTATAGAATCTTTAGAAAACCTTGCCAACTAATTCATCAGGATTTATTACATAAGCCACCAAGAAGTCCCCTTTCACTTCTCATGGAACCGGTGTCCATGTGATAATAACCATAATCTGAGATTAGCCTGAGGCAACAAAGTGTAAGTGTGGTCTGTAACCTGAGGGATTTTAGCAGCACATCAGGGGATTATGAGCTGCAACAATATGGACCAAGATGGTGATAAGATTACTGTGACATCTGAGGTTCAGAGCCTGGTCTCTGTGCAGGTGTACAGATATTACGTTCTCCAGAAATGTCTTCTACTTGTGAGTACACTGTGTACTATCTGTGAGGGTGTTTATCAGTGCTGAGGTCTTAATGACTCACAGTATGTGGGATGCATTAATGTTCCTTGTGTAGAGGAGAGCACATGTGAAATAAATAATTGATCTGTGTAGTGGGCCGAGAAAATGAGACAGACAGAATAATTTGTCTGTCTGTCCTTCCCATCTGGCAACATTGAATTCTGTAATACAGGAGGGTCGTCTCCTTTGACACACACACACACACACAAAAACACTCACTTTTTGGAGAGAAGTTTTTTTACTTCATCCTTTTATCTCTCAGCTGAAGTCACTATTGCATTGCAAATTAAGTTTGATTCTTACATACAGGATAATGAGCTTGTTCAGTGTTATGTAAAGTTTTAATAAATGAGCCAACAATATAAAATGTATATTGTATTATACATGCTGGTTGTACCTTAATAGATTAATAATAATAATTGTATATCATAATCTAGCACTAGGCTTGCCACTCTGAATAAGAAGTACATTTAATACTTAGAGTAACACGTTTAGAGTAATGCAGGACCTATACTGTGAATGCAGGACTTTTACTTGTTATAGAGGACATTTACACCAAAGTGTTCCTACTTTTACTTAAATCAAGGATCTGAATACATCCTCTTCCACTGCTGCTTTAATCTCTGGTGTCATCCTTTGTCAGGACGGACACACAGCTCCTGTCAGTGTGTATTGACAAACTGAAAGCTTGGGTGTAGAGGCAGGTTATGAATGATTAATAACTGCCAGAGGCCCAGAATAATGCCTGTCTCTGGTATTGGGTCATGCACAAAAGCTGATGCTGTCTGGTCATTTTGGGATGGACTGGTTAGCTGTGCAATTAGGCATATAATCCCATCTACCAGTTGGTTCATTGATTACAGATTGATGTAGTTTGCCAGCTGCTGCTTGTCTTGTCTGAGGGCCTCGTCTGAGACGTGGCCCGGACCTTCCGTGTCTTCCAATCTTTTTTTTTTCAGCAACCCCTCACTTGATTGGCTTGTCTGAGCACTGAGGGGTTGAACCATTCGCTCTGTCAAAAGCCATATGTCACAACTGAGGAGTGACCCGTCTGCTGTGGTAGAAACTTGTATCCTCATAAATCCACATCTCCTTATGGAGAAATAGAGATTAGGCTGCAAAGCGTATGTTTCAGTGTGGGAGAAAGTGCAAATCTCATTATCGTCACAGGATTACTTTTAAATTAGCAGCTCATACTTTCTTTTAATAAGCATACAGAAATGTGTGCTGATATTTTGGGCTTATATGTTTTTACTTTGATAATCAGGAGTTAAAAATTGCAACTAGTTGTGTTGATATTACATTTATCAAGTAGAGTAAATATAGAAAATGTAAAACGGAATGGAAATTGTCAGTATACATAGATTAGAAGTTAATAAGTATATCAATAATTCGCAGTAAATGTGTTCAGGAAAAATTACAGTACATTTCATTGTGTTGATATCACAGTAATTAAGTTGATTGGACTTAGAAAATATAAAACATAATTTGAAACGTAATAATATTCAGCACAAATCAGCTATATGCTGATAACCATATAGAAATGCATCATAAGGGTCTTAATATATTTGTTTCAAATGTTTAGATTTTGCTAATCAAGACTTCAATTGCAACCTAATAATATGTTGATACTGCAATGCTCATGTTGAGTGAACTTAGAAAATATAAAACATAATAAAAAATATGGTGATATTCAGTATAAGTCAGATATAAGAACAAGTATATGTAAACGCCAAACAAGTGTGTTAATATTAGACTTTCAAATGTGTAGACTGTGAAAACCAGTACTTAAAATATTCAACTGTGGTTATTATTATGAATGTGTTGATACTGCAATAATCAAGTCGAGTGAACTTAGAAAATATAAAACATGGTCATTTTCAGTATAACTCAGCTATAAGTTCATAAGCACAGAAATGCACAAGAGTGTTAATATTTTGGTTTCAAAAAAATCAGTACTTAAAATTGTCAATGACTTTTATTGTGTTAAAACTGCAAGAAACAAATTGAGCAAACTTAAAGTATAAAACATTATTTGAAACATTTTCCACAACACTGGAGATTTTCTCCACAGATATTTTCTACTTAACACAGCACCAGTTAACAAGTAGGTCTGGCAGCTGGTGAGACGAGGCTGGGAGTATAATTAGGTCACGTAAGGTGAATGTAATTTTATGCCTATTTGAACTCTCTTCCCCTCTAATTGGACTGATTAGCAATACTTAATTGGCTTCTGAGCTCTCCCATTTGCTTTGAATTTGGCATCAGTGTAAGCTAATAGGAGTCTGATCAGTCAAAACAGGACCTCTATAATGACAGATGAGTTTAAATGGCCTGGAACTCTGGAAACTCATTATTTTCATGTGTGAAGTGAGATAAACGCCACGAGCAGTGAAAATGGTGCAGAATGAATTACATGCCGTCTGTGCAGCATGCAAACAAAACCACTTGTTCCAGCAAAGCAAACATGTCACTCACTTTAATAAATATAACTTTATTCTGAGGAAGGACAAAACTATTTTACAATGTGCAACTTTACATCAGCTGAATATGTGCTTTTGTTTTTTTCTCCAGTGTGTTATTAAACTGACTTCAATTTATTAAATCATAGTCCATCAAATACATTTGATCTTTTGCTGTCATTTGCAAAAGCAGAGCCCTGTCTTTATCCCAAACCAAAGAGTTTTTAGTGTGATCTGACTAATTTCTCTGACGATACATCTCATAAGTGTTGATGTAGTTACGGAGACAAATCTTTGTCATATACAAAGATGAATTAAATCAAATGAAAGCAAAAAAATAAAGTGTTTCAGTGTTTACAAACCATGAATTAGAATCTCCTATCAGCATACTATTATCATGACTGTGAGCAGACACAGTGTTTTTATTTGTTATACAATACTGTATGTTGGCATGCATGCACATGGAAAACATGGTGCAAAACTGTGAACCAGTGACCAACAAAACAGAAATAATTTAGTTCAGTATAGAAAGAATTCCTCCTTTAATGGAGCCATTTAAACTGATCTTAATGGCACATTCAAATGTCTTAAAATACTCTATAAACTATATCTGATTATTAATAAACTTATGACTACTTTATATAAACCTTTAAAGAAACTAGAACTACCAGTACAGGTACAATGGCTTCAGAAGGTATTCAGACCTATTAAATTTTGCAGCTCTATGCAGCGCTCCATCAATCAGGCTCTTATGGTATCACCCATTTGACGGCCGGCTTTGTGTTTGCTACGCTGCATTTAAAGGACTCTGAGCATGTTTTTTGTCTGATGAGACACAAATAATTTGAGCAGAAATCCAAACACAATGTTTAATCACCAGTCCCTGCTCATCACCTGGTTGATACCGTCCCTATGGTGCAGCATGGTGGTGGTGGCAGCATCATGCTATGAGTCGGGGCTTCTCAGCAGCAGAGACCGAAGAGGTCAGAATTTAAATTGTCTGTATTTATATAAAGCTTTTCTATTCTTATCAACCACTCAAAGCACTTTACAGTACAAGCTACACACGCATGCGCACGCACATGCGCGCACACACACACACACACCGTTACTATATGCTGCACCTTTTTTACCACACCATTCACACACTACCAAAGCCATCTTGGCCAATTTGTGGTTTAGTATCTTCAGTCTGGGGTTCTGAATCTGGCCCAAAGACACTTCAGTATGTGGAAGGGAGTAGCAGAGGGTGATCGACCCACCCACTTCTGGTGAGTGGACCAAACCTCCTGAGCAACAGCCACCCCTTGTTTAAGGGGAGGACAATGTGAGACTGTGGTGATGTTTCACCTTTCAGCACGATCTTGACCCAAAGCAGCCTCTGGGGAAGCATTTCTCTCTCGTCTCTTCTTGTCCAGCTAGAGCTCAGACTCCAGTCCATAGAACATCTGTGGAGAGACTTGAAGGTGGCAGCTCACAGACATGTACCATTAAATCTGCGCTTGAGAGAATCCGCCGGTAATAATGGGATAAACTGCCTAAATCCAGGCATGCAAGGCTGGACATGCCCAGGATGACCAGAAACTTTAACTGCTTCCAATAATTTTTCTTTTTTTATAAATGTGTAAAAGTTTCTAAAAACATATTTTCTCTTTGTCATTAATCATCTAATGTATTCATTAAAAATACAAATAAAACAAAGTGCAAAAAGTGAAGGGGTGTGAATACTGTCAGAAGCCACTGTACATGTGATTTGCAATAAAAAAAAAAGAGTGGTGTTAGCACCACTTTGAGAAGAGGACTAACTATTAAGAACAGATGCTATGATCAACAATCAGCAACAACCGCAGCACTGTAGCTAAATATGATGTAGAAAACAAAACGTGAGAGAACAATATTCAACTCCTCCGATGGCTCATGAGCTAAGACTTTGCAAATCCATCATTTTTCTGCATGTGACTTCAGTAAATAGGAATGGTGACAAAGCCACTATCAGTGCTGATAGGTTTAACGCAATAATTCTTTGCCATTCTATTCTGAATGTACTTCACTTCATGTGCAAAACACAAATCACATGACAATCTGCTCAAGCAATCAATCTCCGTAAAGTCTTCTACTGTTTCCGACCTCAGGGAGGTCACACATCCTGCCGGGAAGCCTAAGAGTCACCGCGCCGGTGTGTCTCTCACAGCTCCTCACTCTCCAGCATGGCTTCAGGAGGGGAGCTGGAAAACAAGAAGGGGCTGGTGTCCGACGTGGGGAAAGCAGACTTGATGTCGAGCCCCTGGTCGGTCAGAGCGGCGTAGCGGCTACCTGTGCGTGGAGCTTTCTTCATGGGGGCGGGGATGCTCTGATGCCACTGTGCTGGAGTTGCAGCAGACAGCTATTATTACTACCTCAAGTTATGTGCTGAAAATGTGGCACATTTCTGTATAAAGCTATACAGAATATTTACCATAGATATCTAGTCTGCAGGTGCAAGACACAATTCCAGCCTCATTTTTTGCCGACACTGTGTACCAGCCAGCATCATCTTTAGTTGTTGGTTGGATGAGGAGACACACATATCCTGTGGCATCCTGGGTCATGCTGAAATGCATAGATAATGAAGAATTCATTCCAATAGACATCTTATGATATTACGTTTTAATGTATTGGCTTGAAACAGCTACAGGAGAACCATGGAACTCCTACTAACCTGATTCTGTCCTTCATTCTAGGAATGCTGTCATTGTCCTTCTTCCAAAAGATGGCTGGCGGGGGCATACCCACCACCCGACACTCCAGCCTGACGGGAGTCCCCTCAGGAATACCCATGTTCTGCAGCTTCTCCAAAAACTGAGGAGGGTGCTTTGTCTCTTTCTCTAAAGTCAAACAATTACTAGAATTATTGAAGCTTCCAAACAGGGCCCAGGACATCACATTTAAATGTTCAACTAAATTGAAAATGAGTAATTAATTCCCTTTTGTCATTAGCTGCAAGGTATGTGTTTGTCTCTAGTCCTTACCCACAACTTTCAGTTCTAGATTAAAGGAGCTCTGTCCTGCTTTGTTGCTCGCTATGCACGTGTATGTGCCGCCGTCATTCTGCGTCAGAGGGTCAATGACCAGGGAGTGGATGCCATTCTCCCGCACCAGCAGCTTGTGGTAAAGGTCCGGATAGATCGGCCTCCCGTTGACCAGCCACATCAGCTCTGGGTTGGGCAGCCCACTCACCTTGAAGACAAAGATGGCTGATAGTAAGGTGAGGCAAACAAAATACAGTCTTTTAGTGATTGTATTATAAACCAGGTTCTGCTATACCAACCTTGCAGTCTAGTCTGCACAGTCTTCCCTCATGAGCCAGCATGTCTCCTGGAGCCTGGAGGAAGTGAGGGCGAAAAAAGCGCTCCTGCGTTTGCTCACTTTCAACTTGCTGTATGCGAGCTCGTACCCTTAAAGGACACAACAAGGTGAGCACAGCATCACAGCTATTTCTCACTATTCCAGGATTACCAACCCTAGCTTTAATCCATGTCTGTCTTATTTGTGGTGCAAGTTAGAATTTTAACATCGATACACAGAGGGATTCCTCTGCAGTTTCAACTGCACGCACTCAGTCTTGCTCACCTCTGAGAATGAATCGGTGTCTGCCGGTTGCGGGGAGGTCCCGTTTGGACGATCAAATGACCTGAGCAGCTGATTCGTCCCTAATGATCATTAAATATCAAACAGCAGGTCAGATTCTGCAGCGGGATAGAAGCTGCAAACCACATGTAACTTAAACATGAAGCACTACCTGTGGATTAGCTGCCATGATGGTGTAGTTGCCATCATCGTCGCTTGTCGTGGACTCGATGTGCAAAGCACAGGTCCCGTCTCCCTCTCTTATCTTCTTGTAATGGACGTTCTTCCTTAAGATCTGCTTGCCATCCTTGAACCAGTAAACCTGAGGGGAGACGCCCATGTGAATGATTAATGGTGAGGGTTGAAAATGAAAGAGCATACTATCGTTTTTACAACACAGCTGTTGACCTCTAACCTTTGGAAGAGGGATTCCCAAAACTTTACATGAGAAAGTGACAGGTACGCCCTCCATGGCCTTGAAGTTCTTAAGTTTCTTGTTAAATATGGGCGCGATGCATTTACCCGTCGGGACGTCATCATGCTGCACCTCATCGTCCGACTCCTCCACTGGCGTTCGTTCCAAGCGGAATTCAATCTCGCTCATTAGTCTCTGCTCAAAATTGGACACTTTGTACTCCTGGAAACGGAAAACCACTACATCAAAGCAATCGCCGCAGTCGGTGTTGGATTACTGCATGCACCATCTGCCTTTGTGTCTTGGTATCTCATCAGATTTCCATGAAAATCAATGAGTACAATAACATGCATGCAGTATATTGTACATAGAAGCTTAAAGCATTGAGATAAGCAACAAATAGTCTTTGGGAGACACGAGACGACGTGCTTCTATTCAGTGGTAACGGTCTGTATCTCTAATCTTAAAAGGTACAGACTATGACTTTAAACCAGTTGATGACAAGGATCATGCTGTGGCATCTGTCTGACAGGTTCACTCCTGGTCGGTAGAAACAAAATCTGCTCGTCCAACCAAACAAAGTAAATTAGGCTGAGGGTAAAACAGAGAACAGACGAAGTGTGGAGAAATCTAAAATGAAAATTAGGAAGATGGGGCTGCAAGCTTCAGTGGGAAAAGTGTAAATCAGTTCACATATTATTAGCTTAATGAATTACAACACAGTAGTATGTTTGGATTATTCGTGCAGGTTATATATATATATAAGCTTGAATTCTTGATTAGAGTTATGTATTAACCGTGGTGTTTAGATAAGTATATGAGAATATCAAAGGTTTAATGATCTCGGCCTGACACAGTAGAATAATGACCCATACAGCCTCGAGCAAAGCAGAGCTTGGGACGGGAAGATCCTTGTACCTCATCATAGTTAAAGACAGTAGCAGGAATGTTTGGTCCAAGGGGTCTGCTCGCTGTTTTCACCTCATAACTCAGCTTCTATGAGAGGATAGGGATGGATGATGAACACCAACAGAGACACACAAACTGTACATACAAACATATGCTGATGGAATAACACACAAGCTATTGTTACTCGCATGCAAATGTTGTTATGGTGCAATGACGCACAGCGATGAATAACCATGAATGACTGGGGAGGGAGTGATAGCTGCTGCTCTACTGAACTAATGCAAGTTATTCATCGGCTTTGAGTCAGCCTCAGCGATATGATGTGTCTTTATCATTTTACATTTTTTTAAATCTGAGGTCGTTCCAAAATGAATACACAAGAATATTGAGCTCTCTAAATAACTATGAAATAATCACATGAATGTACTGGGAAAATATACACATTTAACAGTAATTTGTAAAATGAGTCAATGATTAATCAAAACTCAGCTTCGTATTATAGACCAGACTATCTATATAACTATACTTTTCATAATGAATATTTAATAGTTATTTTCATAGATATTCTTGGACTCATATCAAAAGTGAAAACTTTTGGGTTCCATACGGGACAAGTGATACTACAGTAGGGCTGGGCAATAAAACGTTATCATTTAATTATGGCAGGATTTGCTCAGAACAAAAAGTCATCTTTAAGCAGCAGACATTATCAATATCGATCATTTTAAGGCCATATTGTCCAGCCCAAGACTGCAGTGAAATCTTTGGTTATTATAACTTTTTGAAACTTTTTTGAAACTTTTAAATCCTTAAAAATTAGCGATCACATACCAATATGTGATTAAACTGACCATTTATTGACATTCATATTCACCCAGTGGTCTAGCATGTAGCTCAGCAGGGGTGTAACTGAGGCTGAAGCTTGTGTTGATAATGTTTCTTAATAGGCTATTTATTCACCACTACAAATAAGAGAGTCAAAGAAGAAGCGATCAATGACAGCAGCAGAGCACGAGACCAACGACTACCTGTTGATGTGCAAACTGTGGAGTATCATCTTTAAATCGAAGCTTTTTCTCAATGTCATGGAGGAGAATTTCTTTGCTCCCACGAATGTCTTCATTTGACGGCAGTTGCACCTTGGGTACCTTCTTTTGTAGCCTGAAGAGACAGATGGGAAAACTGCTTTACATCATGTGTGAGCTCAACAAACTCATGACCACTGTAGTCCATCAGAGAGGACGTACCCTAATGGAGCTCCCTTGGGCAGTCCCATTGAGTTTTTGGGCTGACTCAGGCTCAGCGACGGCAGCACGGAGCTGAGGAAGGCCACAGGGTTTTGAATTGGGCTGGGGGTGGAGCTGCTGGAAGTGGGAGAAGAGGCCTGAGGAGGTGACTGGGCTCGTATGGAGTACACGCTGTTGGGAAACTGTGCTGAACCCGGTGTGGGCGAGGACACGAGGGAAGGAGGGCTGGTGGGAGACTTCAGCACCCTTGTGGGGAGGATCCTATGTGGTGGAGGAAATGGCGGGATAGTCGGGGAGCTGGCTGCGGAGGAGTTGAGCTCAGCGGCCAGCTCATGGAGGAGGGGCACCGGGGATTCGGTTGGGGAAGGACTCCTCACTGGTGAGAAGGTCTGAGCAGCTATGAACTCTTTAGGCCGGGTGTAGTTGAAGGTGAAGGAGGTGGCGGTGAGGTTCATGAGGGAGGCGTGGGTACTTCTGAGCAGAGGAGTGGGGGAGATGATCTGCTGTGAGGCCAGGGTCTGACCTGCGGGCACCGTGCTGAGCTTTGGTGCAGGGGGAGAGGAGAACTGGAACGTGGGTGCAGGTTTGGCAAGAGCTGCGGGGGACAGGTTGAGGTGGGAGGCGTGGATGGTGTTCATCTGGGTTGTAGTAGCTGCACTGAGAGGAGGAGCTGTGTTCAGCTGTGGGGGAGGTGGAGGTGACGTCATCAGTGTAGAAGTCTTCAGTTGAGGGAAAGACAGAGGGGAGCTGAAAGGAGGAGCAGTGTTGAAAAGAGGTGAAAAGGTGGTGTTGAGCTGTGGAGCAGAGCTGAGCGAGGGAGCGTTAGGGGTGGTGAGTGGTGGTGCTGAGTGAGGGGTCTGCTGAGGGGGAGCTGTGGTGGTAAGTTGGGGCTGGAAAGGTGGCGGATGGGGCTCGCACTGCATTCTGGGTGACCACAGCGGAGCCTCGTGGGAGCTTGGGACCTCGGGCTGGACCTGGCTCTGGAACGGGGGGTGGGCCTGAGGCTGCACGTGAGTTTGGGTTTGGATCGGGGGTTCAGTCTCCTGCTGCTGCTCCATGAGGACTTGGTTGTGCAGGAGCCGGAGCTGGGCGGGTTCCCTGTCGGTCAAGCAAAACCAAAATAACAGATCAACCACAAAAGAAATGACACTATACATGGAGAGGATGAGAGAGGCTCTGTGCAGCGCTCTCATAAATTAAGTCTGCGCAGTAAACCGCAGCAGGCATGAGCCAAAGTCAGCAGGAACAACACTCAGCCCTTTTATGGGCCACTAACAAGTAGACTACAAACAAAATACTTCTCCAGCTCAAGACACTTTCAGCTTTCATTCTAAACAGGTTATTTTATCTTCATAAAAATGAATGCAAATTAAATTAGACTAAACAATACAAGACACATTCTCAAATGTATATTGTTGTTTTAAATCTATGATGCAAACTACAAAAGCAATAGTGAACAGCTGATTAAATCATGCAAGATTTCATTTACAGCTTTATCTGAAATATTAGATGAACATAGTTACTTACAGATAAAAAACACCATCCTTGGTTTTAGAAAGACGGAAAGTCCACATCTAAAGTCTGCATGCATTCATTTAAGAATTGCAACTGATTACAGCTGCTGGTTGAGCCAGAGGATGAGGAACCTCCCACCTCAGCTCATCTACTTCACTGTGATGTAGTGAACACTCAGGACATGATGTGGATCGGTGGCTGACCCAGAATTTCATATATGTCCAACATCCATTCACAATTCCTGATTCAGTAAGATAATTTATGTCATTCACTCTATAGCTTTCATTCAAAGCAACACGTCTTTGAAACATATTTTGAAAAATGTTCCTTAGTCAAGCACATTGTGTTCTTCAAAAAGGTTAGAAAATAAAAATTCTTAACAAATTCTCATATTTATTAGTAGTGTTGTTATTGAGTAGTTTAAAAAAGATTACTGACAGGACCGGGGCACTTCAGGGGGGCCAGTCAGCTAAGGCCCCTGCCCCCCTGGATATTTTGTGTACAAAATGTTGTTTCCTCTTACTGTATTGCAGCTTTCTGTTAGTTTCATTGTCAGTCTGTTTTTTTTTTAAACTCTACTCACAGTTTGGGTTTAGCCAGCACCGGGGGTGGTTCTTTGTTGGCTGAAGCCAGAGCGTCATCTTCATCACACTCAGCAGATGCTTCACTTTGCTCATCCTCGGGGAGTTTGAAGTGCACACGCAGACCGGCTCTGGGGCCGGAGCGCGAGTCTCTATGGTTCGTCAAGGTGCCTGACTTAAGGCAAGAGTTCGGTGGAGGGTCAGGGAGGGGGACCACAATGGGGCTCCCATTCTGATGGTTTGGAGTCCCCTTAAGGGCCCCCTTAACACCACTCCTGTCAGACGATGTCAGCCAAGGTCTGGAAGCGTCCTGCTCAGCTGGAGTTGCAGCACTGAAAGCTTTCAGGTGTGAGAACACCTGTGCACCGCTCTGTGGTTCTGGATGTGCTCCACCGGACACAGAGGTGTTCTGGTAGAGGTGGAGAGGGTCTAAGTTTGGGGTGCTGCTGCTGTGAGAGTTCAGGTAGGAGGTGCTGATGCTGCTGCTCAGGCTGGAGGGTTCCAGACTGGGCAGGCTGGTGCGAAGCGGGTCAGGACGCAACATGCTGGAGCTGTGGGGATCCAGGCGGAAGGTGCTGGTGTTTAAGGGATCCAGGCGTAATGTGCTGGAGACGAGTGGGTCCAGGCGAATGGTGCTGGAGTGGGGCTTGACGCTGTTGGTCGCCTCTGGTTGAGGGTTGACATTGGGAGCTGATGGGGAAGATTCTTGGTTTCGACTGGGATCCACTGTTAAACTGCTGACAGGCCTCACGTGGTTGCTGTTCCTACCATTGCCTGATGAGAGTCAGAGAGATGGACAGACATTTGAGTTAACCTTTATAAGAATATATGGATTAGAATATATGATAACTGTTGCTGTTTATGATAATCAAAGCAGAAGTGTTACCTCTGACCCTCAGTGCTGCAGTACTGGACACGGTTCCATACTTGTTGCTTGCTGTACAAGTAAACACTCCTGAATCTTCCGGAAAGACTTCAGCAATGACCAAAGTGCATATTTCCTCTGGAGGAAATAATGAAAAAAAGGGATACTCACAAAATCAGGCCGGTTTGGTGCGACTGCTTCTTATTCATTTCTAAACTAGAGAGCGTCTTATTGCAATGAGGAAAGAAAGATGACTTGTGTTTTCTTTTTATCACTGAGGCTGAGAGTCTCTCTGCAGCCCAGGCAGGTTGAAATGATCTGCCATGGTGGTTTGACACAGGATGAGAAACTGCCTTATATGGTTCAGTCAGGGAAAACCAGCTCTGGCTTATGTACAGAGGAACAGAAGCCCCCGCCAACAACTATAAACACTTCAGCACAGTAATATGTACACAGTGCAGCAGCATATACAGACAGACAGCTGCTTTGGTGCAGTCAACAATTATTTTATTTTGTGACAGATGAGGATTGCATGAAACACGTACCTGGTTCAGCTGGAGATCTCGGCTCTGGAATGGAAACAAGCACCCAAATCATTACAGATACCAATGAAGAACAACAGCTCTTTAGTTTAAGCCCAATCAGCACTTGTCTCATTATTATTTACAAATATATTCCACAATCATGCTATTTTAAAATGACCTTTAAGACCTTTAATATAATTAAGTATATTTATGCGCATCTGTCAAATAAATGACAAATATCTAAGGAAGATATTAATAGAAGCCAGTAAGAAAGCTGCAACACAAATATGGCTACAGATGCATCTTCAACAAAGACTGACAATAATGTGACTGTTGTTCAGAACATGGAGAGAATGACTTTTTCTTTTTTTGACTGTGTACTGGGGGAAATAGATTGAGTTGACTGCATAGGTGGATCATTTATATATTATTTCAGTATAACATCTATATGAATGTGTTACAGACCAACATTTTCTTCCAACATGTTTGGTTGCATTTCTCTTTCCTTAGTATAAGTGTAAAGAAATATATATTTATGCCACAATTATAAAAATAATTTTGAGATGAAGGTCAAAAATGTGTCAACGCTGTTTTAAAAAATGATGCCACTGACAGTATTGAAGCTACTTTAACCTTAAACAAATTAAAGCAATGTCAAAATTGTCCAGCTCTTAGTGCTCATTTAAATATACACTACTGGACTGGATTTAAAATAAATGAATCATCTCTTTTTAACATATAGGAATTTGGTTTTATTTCCAACAAAAATAGCACTCAAGAGTGTATAAATCCCACAGTCCCCTTATGAAAACACATTTAAATTTCCTAGATCTGGATTTTTACATGGATATACACCAAATTGCACACACTTAAAAATCAGAAATCAACAGGAAACAACATGAAAAAATGAAGCTAATAAACATAAACTCAAATACTAATGTTTTATTAACTTCAGCGTTACTTATTTCCTTGTCTGCACACTTTTGAGAATTACTAAACTGCAAGAACACTGAAATTTGAGTCAAGCTGAATTAAACTAATGTATCTAAGATACAGTTAAATCTTGATTTCTTGCATTGTAAAAGACAAGGCATGTCCGTTGTGGCTGCAGTATAAATCCAAATCAAACTATTTCAAAAGATACAACTGGCACTTTTAATACGTCAGCAGCAGAGCTTACTTTTCTGCAGGATCCTGAAATCAGCAGAGTCCTCTATGGATTTGCCCTCTCTGTACCAGTCCACTCGAGGTGACGGTATCCCTTTCACACGGCCCTCTAGCACCACCAGCTGGCCTTCTGACACAAAGAGGTCTTGCAGGCTCTGGTACAGAAAAGACACGCTAGAATAAATATGGAGGAGGCTATAATGGACTGTAGCAGTGTACACACATTTGAGAATGGTCCTACCTTTGTGAATACAGGGGCGGCCATCACAGGTTGCCCGTTCAACCCTTGTATATAGTTGTGATTGGAGGTTTGACTCTGAATATTTAAAGAAAAACACATTGGACAGATTGAAATATATAAAACTCACCTTAAAACAAATATAGTGGAAGGAGGTGTTTTCAGCTGTTGTTACCTCAGGTTGATGCACTGATGGAGCCACTGAGATCAGAGGCAGGGATGGGACTGTCTCTGTCTGCTGGGTTGTAGATGTGACTGGGACAGACGCTGAGGCCTCCTGGTTTCCTGAAACTTCTGTGACCTCTTGTGTCAAAGTAGGAAACACCTGCACCGGTAACCCTGTGGTCGTCTCCTCCTGAGCGGGCTGTGCTGAGGATGCCACAGACGCTCTGGAGAGCTCTGGGACAGAAAGCACCGTGGTTGTTGTCTGGACCAGCAGAGGAGGATGATGAGTTGGTGGTGAGGAGGAGCGCTCCTGTACTGGTTCCTCTGTTGCTGCTGCAAGTTCAGATGTCTCAAACTCTTCCTCCTCTGCAGAGGCGGTTTGGCCCAATGATGATGTTAAAGTTGCACTTGACTTTTGGGTTTTCCTCTGCAGCCTTTGAAAATCACAGACAGAAGCAAGGAAAGATGATGTTGAGAATTGTGATAAAGATAGTTCCATTTATGATTTTCCTTAAAATGAGACTAAATAACCATAAAAACTCACTGGGCTACATTTTCAAGGTGCTGCTCCCCCTCAGAATCTGAAGAGGAGGCACCTGTGGGACGAGAGAACAAAGATATGTACTAAGGTCGTCTCTTTTACAGGAGCCTGTAAAACTGCTAATGTGAAAAAGAAACAAACCTACCTTCGACGTAGATCTCTGCCGACGTGGAGTCAGTCCCATAGAAGTTAGACGCAAAGCAGGAGTAACGTCCTGTATCCTCCTCGAAGGCCTCAGCGATGATCAGAGAGTGCAGCTCTCCGTTGGTGATGATCTGAATGTCGGGGCTGTTCTCCAACTCCTTGCCCTCACAAAACCACCTGTGAATAAATATATAGCAGAGAAAACTGCTCAGTGCAACTAAAGCATCATAAGGTTCTTCCAGTGCTACCAGGGCTGGAAAACTGGAGTTTTTAAACACTAGTGGTGCGATAGAGCTATGTTTGAGTGAGTCCCACTTTTAGTATGTACACAAAGGTGTATATACAGTATATTAGTATAAGCATAGGGGCAGCTGTGAAGACGAAGAACACTATTGGCTAATAAATATGGATATTAAAAAGCACAATTTAAAATATTTTTAAAAATTGGCATCGCAAATGATAATAAGGAAGGTGATGCATTTAAGTTTTGGTAACAATTGTGGATACATACACAATGCATAGTAGGAGCGAGTATTTTTTTATTTACAAGAAAATGCCACAGGGCTACTTTAATGAAGTTGAATTATTATTGTAAAATATTTCAGAGAAATTGTAAATTGAATCCTGTTTAAGGAAATGAGAAAGTCATTTTTAGTGCATTAAACAGATGTTGGAATCACTCAGTTTGATTTCCTTAAATTGTCTCCCAATATTTTTTGGGAGGGGGTAATTTTTGTATTTATTATAATGCCTACCAATGCAAATACTTATAATAATACTGTTATGGAAGAGCAATATTATGATGTGATTACAGGAGAACCACAGTCTCAGAGCACCAGTGAATCGCACATGGACTGTTGTCCATGTTGGTTGTGTGTATATTTGTAATGAAATGGTTGCATTCATTCAACATTTGTGTTTTCTTCCTGTCCATATGTACAAATGTGTTAAAAATCTAAGGAAAAACCACATCATGTCATGTCACAGTAAAGGTTTGGGCTCCACCTCTGTTGAATGAGCAGATATTCACAGCACCATTATTACACACACATTTAACTGGGATTTACATGCGTTACGATCGATGAAGGTCAAAACATTTGATTAACATAATCTTCATACCAATTCAAATATGTCTGTGTCCCTTATGTCCTGCAGATGTTGTGTTTCTCCACTTCTGGAGGTTCTTAGTTTTATTTGTCAGTCGTCTGTAACTCCCACTGTTATGACAGAGCTATTATTTCATGACGGTATTTTAAGACTCTGATGCCCTTGGTTTACTATTTAAAACCCTATCTTTACACAGTTCACTATTCCTCATATTAACCTTCTGACATGGTTTCTCTGAGGCTGGTACTATGTGGCATCTTTCCCAGTTCTGCCATCCAGCAGAGTTATGCAGGCCAAGAGGAAAAGGTTTTGATGAGCAAGGCCTATCTGTTTCCCTGTAAGACGAGACGCGACACCAGCACGCCACGTCAGTTCAAAGGCCATGTCAACGCACTGTTGATATTATGAAGATATGGTCCAAGAATATTACATCTAATGGCACTTTGAGTAATATGTTGAAGTTAATAAAATGTGTATGAATTTAATTATCAGATCTGGGTTTTAATTTTATTTTTTTCAACTAGAATTCCTGGATTCACACCAAGTTATATCACCCTGGACCTAATCAATATTGCAATCTATTAATTTACTCTGTTAGTTTAGGAATAAATGAGCAAAACACATGTTAAAATATGAAACAGAGAGTTTGAGAACTCTGCAGCAGCTGGGTTTGGTTCCAATCTGGCCCATTGCTACATGTCTTCTCCTATTTTTCTTCTTATTTCACACTTGCTCAATAAAATAAGGCAAACATGCAGAAAAAACATGATAAATGACAGCATGTGAGTCTGCCCAGCTCACAGTCCTTCTTAGTAACATCTCATGTAAGTTGCAGCTGGCAACTATCTATTTTTTCATTGTAAAGCTATAATAGTAAACTTTCTCTGTGTCCTGACCAGCAACATACACAGCAGCCTCCATGTCAGAGGATGTCTATTTTGAGCAGATGAGGCCTTGGTGCTTTATTAAATCCAGCCAATAAACAAACAGGAATGAGGTGATGTGTTACCCTCTGGCACAGCATCATTATAAGATCATTAATCATGTTCTGTGCCTTCATCAAGCTCAGATCACCAAGATCACATGCTTTTTATAGTAAATACGGATCATACTGCAAGAAAGGGAATCCTCAAAACACAAACCAAGCATCTCTCTGCTTCTCCACTAGTCACATCTATAGAGAGCTGGTAAAAAGAGATTTACAGTCTCTGATACTCCCTGAAAAGCTGCTGGAAAGTTCATCCATGAATCGAGCTCGTGTCCTTTCTAATGAGTAAAGGTCTAAATTGAAAGCATGAAGTCGTAGAGGAGGTGGGTGAGTCAAAGCCCCCAGCTTCACTGCACCTGTCAGGGCTATTTTGCCTCTGGAGATCCGAACCAGAGAGGAGATTCCCTTTGGAGCCGGGGAGCTCTGCCTGGCCGACCCATTCACATACGCACAGACTCTAAACATAGATTTAGAATACACACAATGTTATACTGTGACACACCAGAGACAGCACTAAACTGGAAAATGATGGGAATATGAACCCTGACAACACTATGTTGAGCCCTCTAAGTCACAGTCTCACACCCACACACACACAAACTGTTTGGACAGAGAAAACAAGAACAAATGAGAAATGTTTGCAGAATATCCAAAATCAGACCCAAGCCTGAACACGATTTTTAATGAAGCAACATTTTAAGTGGAAACCAAACAGAACTAACTGGTCCTCAAACTGTGTATATCAATAAGACTCTCAATCCAAAAACAAACCGTATCAAGTTATACATCAAACTACTAAAGCTTTTTAAATCATCTTACCAGACTCCTCATGCTTCTATCTGTCAAGAGCACGGTCGCTTCCATTATCAGACGAGACCACAGCTCGCAATGCCAGTCCAGTCTAAAAATGGCCGAGAGCTACATTCTCCCCGAGCGAGTATATGTTGGTGGCTCAACAATGTTCAGCAGGACAAACAAGCCCCTGCCCCTCTATAGTCTGACAGCTCAGCCTCACTCATCCAGGCCGTTGTCGTCCTGGGAGGGAAACTGCACGTCCAGCCATGAGGTTTAAAACATATCAGATCAAACAGATCTAACTCTGAGCTTTAACAAGAGTAAACTGTGCAGCTGAATTTTATTTGTATTTATTTGTAATGCTTCATCTCTAATATGGCTGATGTCTTTTTAAGCCAACTGCTTTGTCCGAATTTGTGGTTTTAATGAATTTGTTTTCTAATTTTTAAGTAAAGTTATATGTATATGTATTATCATTATTATTAATGTTGTTATTATTAGTATTGAGAATGATAGACAGACTGATGTGATAATTGTCCGCGACATATATAACTGTATACACACACACACACACACACACACACACACACACACACAGCTGCTGGCTATCATCACATGTCACGTCTGTCTGTATCTCCCATAGAGAAATAAACTGCATAATTGTCATCTTGACTCCAAACACGTATTCTTAAAAGTAAATTAAAAGTAGCAATATTGCATACTAAAAGTACTCACGCAGTACGTCCTGCAGTGAAAAGTTTACTTGCTGTGAGAATTACTTGCAAAATGTACTTAAAGTATCAAAATTAAACCACTAGATCACTTGATATTATGTTATTGGATTATTGGTGCTAAATTTATTATTTTTTATTGATCCTCACTTTTATTTTTGGGCGGTTAAATCCATGATAATGCATTTATTTTATAAGCTCATATGTTTTTATGTTAGGTTAGGTTAATGTAACTAGGTGTAATATATTTAGTAGTTTCTCTCAGAATAATTTTGGGGTACAATTACTTCAGATTGATACTTGCGGTTTGCACTGGAGTAAATAATTCATTTACAAGCTCCTGTGACGTCCTCCCAAAACAATTTTCAGTTTTCTTCACTTCACTGGGGATCTCCAGCGGGAGGTGACAGCTGACACAACCTTACAGCACACTGGGCCTTTAGCTTTTCAATTACACTTTTTTCAATGAAACAAGATCTAAAAAAAAAAATACTTGGGAAAGTCTTACTATTTTGCAAACTCAGAAATATGAGGACGCCAAAGAATAGAAACTGTCAGGTTTCTCTTACCGGACTTCAGGCATCGGGAGTCCTCTTACGATGCAGTCTAACTGAACCTTGCTGCCCTCTGCAACCTCCCTGCTTTTCAGTTTCTGGATGAAATGAGGAGGTTCACACATGGGCTCTGCAGAGTAGGGTGTTTCTGCCAAGTCACAGCCTTCTGTCCCCTCCTCCTGGACTTCCTGAGAAACACAGTCGTACTGCTGCTCCTCAGTGACCCTGCAGTCCTGGAGCTCCACATGCCTGGTACCAGGGTCCAGTTGGACCTCTGGTGGGTGGCTCACAGCAGGACCAGGTCTCTCCTCCTCCTCCTCCTCCTCCTCCACGGGCATGAAAGCACGCTCCCTGTTGTCAGAGTTGAGAGGATCAACTGCCCCATCGTTCTGGCTCTTATTCTGACCTCTACTCCTATGAGACTTGCACCCTCTCGGTCGTACCCGTTTGGAGCTGTTGGCCTTGAATAGAGAGGAGAGCTCCTCAATGAAGTCTGCTGCTTTGTTGAGAAACTCCTTCTTGGACTGGGTCTCTGGGCCGTACGGGGCGTTCCTCGATGATTTGTTGAAGTCGTTGAATCCTTCACCGGAGTCCCTGCTGGTTCTGATCATGTTGTCCTGTCGCATGGAGGCTTTAAGCATCTTTCTGTCTGATGTGAATGTGTGTGTTGCTGGCAGTTCTTTGAACTCGGGGGCAGGCTGGGTGAAGGGCACAGTGGAGGGGGCAACAAGAGGAGCAGGAGATGGGTTATGCAAGGGAACAGAAGGGGTCGTAGAGGAAGAAACTGAGACTGAGGAGATGTTGGAGGGGGTTAACGGTTTGACAGTGGCCTTGACCTCTGCCTTCTCCTCACGAGCCTCATGTCCGATGGCCTGGCAGGCCAGGTTCACACTCTTATCCAACTCTTCCTGGCTGAGGAAGGCGGAGAGGTCTGGCAGTTGGGGGTCATTACGGCCCACAGAGTCTTCAGCCTTGCCTTTGAGCGACCCGTAGATCTGAAGGCGTGTGGACGAAGCGTCTGAGCGGCTCATCTCGCTGTGGCGCTGCTGAGCTCTGGCCTCTGCCAGGTAGCTCTCTCTGAGGAGCTGAGACAGGGACGGTGGCTGCTCAGAGTTGTTCTCTTGCATGCTGTGGAAGAGATCACAAGACATTCAATTACTTAATCCTGTCCATCACCTCTACTCACGTTGAATACAGCCTTTCAGTTTTTTTCAGAGTTACGGTGATATGAAATGATAAAGCAGCCAGTTGTATTATTTGGAAACCTTTGTTATCTAAGATTTAACATTCCTCAGTCGAAAAGCATCCCAAAAAATTAAATCATCTAAATGTTCACTGATGGACCACAAATTTCAAGATCTTTGTATTTATAAGTTGATTTAATACTGTACTGAAAATTAAACCAGTAGCTGCCTGAAAAATAGGATGTTTAAAATCTAAACACATATGGTCCAATAAGTAGCAGAGTTAAACTGTTCAGGCAATTAAATCAAAATAATTTGGCAACAATTTCATTGAAAATGTGAAGGTTCCACAGTTCCAGATGTGTAGATTTGAAGTTTTCTTTGTATTCTCTCATAGGAAACTAAACAATTTTAGGCTTTGGACTATTTTTCAGTTCAACTTGAGCTCTGGGAAAATTCTGACGTGATATTTTCATAGAACGGATGACAATGTCAATCACTGACAAAACTAATCAGCAGATTGAATTGCTCATCATTACTTGCAGCCATATGAGCAGTAGTACAAAGTATGTTCAACTTGCAGTAGTTAGAATAAAATATAAATGTCCCTCACAGTCACCAACGTGTCTAACAGACCTTTAAATGCAGAAGGCAACTAAAGGAGGAATGAAGAAAGTTCAGTAAAAGAAAGGTGAAGCTGAAATTAAAGTATATCTGCAACAAAAAGAGTTGATCGAAACATGGACTGATGTTTACCTTACATATAATTAATGATAAATTTAGATAAAAGCAGGAGAGCATTGGTGTTTCATTCTTATTTTAACCTGATTTTCATTTTGACCTGATTTCAGCCTTCCTCGAGCCGAGAGGGTGTCAGGTTCATGAGTGACAACAGATCTGATTGGCTACAGACAGGCTCTGTTGGTCCTGTCCTCCTCGGACCAACACTCACACGACGTTTTGTCTTTGCACAACTTTTCAACACAGGGAATGTGCGAGTTGTTGAATCCTGACATGAGATAGGGAACACATATGCTACTGACACTCAAATCAGCGCAATTAAGAGAGACAGCAATGCCCTTCCAACAGACCTGAAGCTGCAGCTGTTGTGTACATTAATCCTTTGCAAACAGCCTCCAAGCCCACCAAGTCATATCTAATAATAGCCAGGGGTCAGTTTACATGAAGAAAATCAACAAAAAAAGCAGTGCTGCTCATCCTGTGTGTCCTTGTTATCCTGATTTTGATCAGTCATTACAACAATAACACAAAGAGAAGTATAATTATCAGAAATGGGGCAGTGCTGGGTGAGAGAACACACAGTCCCGGCCCACACTCGAGTGGTCCCCGGCTAAACACAGAATCCAGGCAGGTTCAGATAATTCAATTAAATAGGAACATAACATTCAAACAGAAATAGACTCACGCTTGACTGAGATTCTCTGAGGCTATACACAGCGTAATAGATTCATGCCAAGAGACTGCCGACAGGACACTGTGAACAACAATTGAATTAGTGTGTGGGGGGGGTTGTGTTTTACCTTTAGTATAAACTCAGCTGGCCCCCCCTGTGAAGGACTGGTGAATCCTTGGAGTGCACCTGTGCTCAGAGGGGCAGATTCCGGTCTTCACGTTTGCCGCCACCTGGGGAAATCTTGGACACGGGCAGCTGCCCCAGTCTTCCTAGGTTCTCTCGCACAGAGTCAACCTTTGAGTTTACAGGGAAATATGGAGCTGAGTAGCTGGGGTAACCCGTCACCAGTAAAAGTAGCAACATTTGTCAGTGCAGTGATCGCAGGTTATTTTTGGGAACGCCTGGCCCATGTGTCTGGGTGTCATGCATGCTCATTGGCCGGGCAGCGCATGCTGTAAAGGGATTCCTCCTCCAGTGGTCCGTCAGAGACCCTCCGTCCTACAGAATTAGAATCCCCTTGTCGAGCCTCTCACAGACTAATATTAACACAGCGGATAAACAATGATAATCAATTCTGAAACAACTGGACACTGTAGAAAATACAGGGGGTAAAACATCCGGCAACAATTATCCTGATCTCAGGATTTTTTTTTTTTTATAGATAAAAAGCTTTGTTCGATGGTTATCTGAAGCAACATTGGAGCCAAGTGAAAATGTATTCAGCTGTTTCAACGTGAATATGAAGGATATTGCTGCAGCAGGTTTAAGACAAAGTGATATAACCTCAGCAAGTATTTCAGCACATACCTGCACTAGAGACTCTGTTCTTGTGCTTCATAATAATACCTAATTATTGAAGAGAACATTTCTCCACATCCATATTTGAAATGTTGAATGGTGAAAAACAAAACCATCTCTGTGTCAAATGAAATGAATGACAATTGTTTATTTGAAAGATGAGGAGAACCATCTCCAAGACCACAGATGGAAACGAAAAGCAAATCTGAGCATCTGGTTACACTTAAAACAGTGTAGGACCTTGTATCAAATACTTCTATTCAAATAAAGCAAGAGCACAACGGAAAGACGTCCACTAATTACATCATGAACAGGCTACACATGTTAGAAAAAATTAATGCACAAGTATTCCAGACTCGGGTTTAAAACAATATTTGCATATGATTTGTTTAATTAAATCCTTGAAGCATCAGGTTCAGTATATTTACAGTTAATGGACGATTTAGGTGAGTTGTCAAAAAAAACTGAAGCACGGTTAGAGAGTTCTCAAACACTATTCTGTGGCTGTCTAAGCTTTCTGGCACTCTGTGTAAAGTCCTGGATGGTGATCCCTGCCACTCCTACATACAAGGCTGAAACAAACAAGTCACATTAAAGGTTACAAACTGACTAACATCTCAACAAAAGGGTCAAAACTTGTTAGTATAAAAAAACCTAAATGGCTCAGTGACTCAGACAGTATACAACATTAACAATGTCAGCTTGAACTCAATGCAATCTATATATATACATATATAAAAGAAAATAAATGATAAGTACTGCAAATCCTCTTTGGCGTAACTGGAAAGTACAATCCGGTTTACCAACCCAGTAAAGGCAACATGAAGAAGAGAATCATAGTTGAGGTCAATGACTTAGTTCCCATTTTTTTCCTCACTCATTTTTGTGTTGACTGTAGACAATGGTTTATACACACAAGGGCCGTAAACATGGGATTTGTAGTATTAACATAAGGAGAGTATTATTAGCAGCAATAGAAAGTCTCGATTAGCCCAGTTTATAGAAAAACGCACAAGACACTTCCATGTTAAAGGTTAGGAATGAGAAACCCTCCATCAGCGTATCTGCTGTCAGGATATCTGATCCAACAGACACCATGAAGGCACTGTTCACATGAGGAAACAGTCTGAGGACACACGGCAACATCCCACATATACTGAAGCTGGATGCATCATAGTCACAGAGGAAAGCACCATAATGGAAGTGTGTGTGCTTGTTTTTTCTTTTAGTGCAGTAAGATTAAGCGTCTGCTCAACAACTCAACATCATGTTCTCTTTGTTCTTCACAGTGTTGTGTGACCTTGAGTCGAGAGAGATGAAACTGACACATTGTTAACATTGTACCTAGTGCAGTGAGCGAACTTGTGATAAAGACATAAGAGGCACAGTAATAGTTCCGCAAACCCATGTGGCGATGGCGGCTCGGCTATCAGGAGTCCTCGCTGGCCCGCTTGCGAGACTGGTCACCCCTGGAAAACAGGGAACAGTCCATTAGTGGTTTGAAGTAAAGTGCAAAACCCAAAGCCGCCTATATTAATGACCTGAGCCACTGAGGTTGTGTTTCAGCCTCAGTCTGTTTGTTTAATTGTCAACCCGGGTTCATGCAGAACTATTCAACCGATTTCTGAACTAAAAAAAGATGGGACACATGTACTTCACTTTCTCGAACACTGAGGGATAGGGGATTTTCTTTACAGTTTTTACAGATTTCCCAGTGAATAATTCATGGATGTTGATGAAAAAGATCTGGTATATTTTGGGAACTGATGTCTGTGTAGAATTTGGTGCAGCTTGATTGAATTCCAGGGGACTGTTGGGCCCTGGTTGAGGTAGAATGACACTCAGCACTCTACTGAGTGCCATTCTAGTTGAGACTACAATCAGCCGATATGAAAACTGAAGAATGTGAAAACTGACCGTGGAAATCCGTTCATGGAGAGCTCCATCTGTAGCTTCTGGTCACGAGCAGCGTAGTCAGACAGCAGAGACTCCACGGCAGGAGGGTTGATTTGGGGAATAAACCCAGAGAAGAGAGCCGGGGCCAACTGGGCCCAATCTGCAGGAGGAAACAAAGAATCTATTACACAGAGGATCAAATGTAGAGAAGCTGATTCTGTTGGAGGAATAAACAACTGTTCGTTTTGTTTGCATTAGCTTGAAGCTGAAATTACATTACAGCAGATACATACAAAATATTTCCGGCAGCCTAACAGATTAGAACAATAACCAATGCTCACCAGGTCGGAGGCTGTAGAGGCCATTCACTACACTGGCCATTGTAGATGGCTGCACTTTAAAGGGCATGGAATAAGCTTCAATGAGAAGAGCTAAACAAAAACAGAAGTCATTTGTTTACCGAGGTGCAGTGTCTTTACAGATTCACAAATACAAGCAAAGCCATCGGTGCTACAAATGAAGCGGGACACTCACGCATCAGTGTGTTCACATGTTTTTCTGCAACGTGATCAGCAAACAGCTTCATCAAATCGTCCCTCAGGTCTCTGTTCAGCTTTGACTCGATGTAGAACTTGTTCTGAAAACATTACATATGAAAACATTGAGAAACTGGGACATTAGTGGATATGGGTAACACTTATACTTGGTTGCACTGAACAGAATTTAATATCATAGGAGAGATGTTCCAATACCAGCATGGGAAAGGCCTCTGATTATGTCAGGTCGGGCATCGGTGAGTATGCAAATCTATGTACTGACCCAATACCATGTCTTAAAAGCATAATATTTTCACCCAGACAGAACTACAATTTTCTTTTCTCAGAAATCACTTTTTCTTTGACACAATTAAAGAAGGCAACGTGTAACATATGCAAGATTTCAGTTTTGAGGCGTGGCACTAGTGTTGCCAATCAAAACACTAGTTGACAAAATGATAGCAGGCGTCACTTCCATACAGGGTTAGTAGTTTAAAGCACTTAAATATGATATCTAAGTTGTTATCTTTTTAAATGCAATGTCAGGATTGGTACTCGATATCAGCCGATACACAAAGTCCAGGTATCAGATTCTTTATCAGAAAGAGAACTATGGTATTGGAACAAATCATACATTCATATTTGTTGAAGATATAAAAAAGATGCATACCAAGTACATAAATACAGGAACTATACACTGAAGAGAAGCTGTGTATTGGGTCAGTGCAACGTTGAAGTTCTCAATGAAGTTTTCAGGGGAGCTCGCCTGCGAAATAATAATCATAAACGTGTGGGTTTAATAAATTGTTTCTGTATGTAACTCATATGATATATCTGCTCATGTTTGGGTTGACTTACTTGTAGACGTGTGGAAACATGCTGCAGATGAGTTGTTATTTTTGACATCAAATCGTTGTAGAGCAGCTCAGAGTGCTGCTGACACACACACTTGTAGATGTAACTAGGAAAACAAAGTGGAATGGAATCTTAAGCCACGGCAGCTTTGTGGATCTCTGCAGGAATCACACACTGTAGGTGAGGACACAGGTGTGCGTTTGTTCAACAGGTTTACCTGTAGATCTGTGCATAGGAGACAGAGATGTGGTCTGTGGGGTTCTGAATCAGCAGGCGATCAATGGCCTTCTCAAGGTTTGGCCAGTGGTTCTTCCTGTAGTCCTCAACTGCCATGGCATTCAGGACTGAGAGAAAAGAGGGGAGATGCATGATGGGAAATGTATTTAAGTCTGGTAAAAGCCATCCGAAAACAGCACTGTGGGTGAAGACTCACTTCTAGGATTAAGGTTGGAGTTAGGTTTAGTTAGGGATATGATAAAAGTTAGAACTAGGCAGATAGGCCTGATAGTTAGGATTAAGGGACTAATGCATGCATTACTGCAATGGTGAAGGATTCCGTGTGTGTCTGTGTTTCCAGGTATTACTCATCATTTGTTTACACAGAAACGTAATGGGGACATAAATCAAATGCCCAGACGTAAGGGTAGGTTTTAGGTTAGACAAGTAGTAAGGTTAGACTCTTCAGGAAATCAATGCAGTTCATGCAAACATGAACCACCTTCCTTCTTTACACTGTGAACTTCTACAGCAGGTTAAAGGAAGGCTTTGGTTTGGACCAGATCTTTCACAGTGATGCATTTCTACAATGCTCTGCATTGAAGAACAATGGAGGGTGATCGGTGTGTAGTGATTGCAGAGTGACTACATGACACCAGGCCCTGCTGTCTGTCCTCAAGTCAACTTACGGAACTTGGAGGTAGAGTCGAGGGTGAATTTCCCCTCTACAGCCGCAGGCAGAGCTGCACAGTCGGTCTCGCTGACCTCGCTGCTCTCGCTCCCTGAATCCGAGTCCATGAACTTTGACCCACCGGTGCTGCTGCTGCTGCCGGACCACTGCTTCCCTCGCCGGCTCCCCGCTTCTCCCCCACTCGGCACCGGCTGCGGGACCGTCGTAACATCCGACAGGCGGCTGCTGAGATACGTGCGGGCTTTGCCGCTGCCGCTCGCACAATAGTTGTGGTTGTGGTCGTCTTTCACGTCCAGACTGTCGTCCTCCATGGCCTCCATGTTCACAACCGGA